ATTTCTGGAAGGCTGAGTAAGGGGGAAGTTGAGGTGGGGTCTCATCTTTCTTGGTCATGTTACTAAGTCAGGTTGTCAAACACATTAGGGCTGTTGCCAAACAGTGAYTGGTATCACCAGAGTGCTGTTAGAGCTCACACAGAACATAATAAAGTCCACTGCTCTTATCTTAAGAAAGCAAAACTACAGGCATCTAGTCACRACAGACATAAAGACAGAACTATTTGTCAATCAGGTATAAATCAACCRCATCTGCATGGTGATAATAACAAAATTCATAGCTTTTTAAAGTCATTGCAGTGGTTTTCTAATGGTGGTAAACAAATTACCACACAGTTAGCATGTTAAGGCAACACACACCTATCTTCTTTACTTCTGTAGGTCCTAAGTCTGGTGCAGGGTCACTAATTTCTCTACCTAGGGTCTCAAGCTGAAATCCAAGTATCTGCTGGGCCAAGCTATTATCAGAAAGATGAGGGGAAGATATTTGATTGCATGCTCAGCTTGGTTATATTGTTTCCAYAATCCATTTTCTGGTGGATAGAAGACCACAGGCCCAGTTTTCTGGCTGGATATCAATGGGGTCCAGGTCTTAGCTCCTAGAAACCTGCCACATTTCATAATTCTGCCCTCTTGCATCTCTCACCTTGAAACTCTGACTTTTTCTTTAGTTCTCTTTACTCCATATAGATTGAATTATGTGATTCATTCAGGTCCACACGAGTAATCTCCCTAAAGTCAACTGATATTACACCTTAATTCTAAGAGAAAAATAATTTTACATTATGGCATAGACGATTGATTGAACAAATAAAATTGAATGTATGGGAGGAAGGATAAATCATCTTAGAATAGAACTTCATAGAGTTATAATATACACAAATACAAAAATCAGGAGAAAATGATAAAAAATATACAAAATAAAACAGTAAGTGAATRTTTTTAAATGGAATCAGTGAAATTTGATGGAGACTTGCTTTGAGCCATAGAGCTAAGTAAACTGTGACAAGTTGTGTTGAGAGACTACAAAAGCCAGAACTGTCAATACCAGGAAATCAGAGATGATAAAATATGACCTCAGAAATTAAAGCATTTGYTTAGTCACAAAGTGACTATACTTCTATGTTTTTTTATCAAATGTATGATTTCCTGGAACTGATTTTCATATTAATAATAGTAGACCAAAAATAATTTTCAATCATGTAAATTACCATTCTTTAGTAATTTATTCCATTCACAAAGTGATTTATCTTCAAAATCTTTTAGTAACAGTTCTGTGTTTTGTTTTGTATTTTTTACTAGTATCGGAACATTACTGAATTTGAGAGGAAGTCACTGTGGAAAGATTCATGGCAGTATATAGCAAATGCCATTAAGAAACACAGAGTCATTTCAATAAAATTAATAGCAAAATCAATTTATTTCCATGTAAAAGAAGGCAAMATGATATTAAAATGCAATTAGCCCTTTATATCTATGAATTTTATATCTCTATAAAACTGAGGTTTAAAATTTTTGAAAGACAAAAAATGCYATCTGTACTGAATGTATACAGATATAATTCTTAACATTATTCCCTAAAAATATTGTATARCAACTATATAAGTACATTTATAACATATTCCTTTGCTATTATAAATAACCTAGAGGTGATCTAAAGTWTATTACAGTGTTTTTGTACATCCAACATCATTTTACAAAAGGAACTTGAACATCTACTGATTTTAGTGTCCAATGGTGTCTTGGAAGCGGTCTATCACWGATCCTGAGGGACTACTATAATATGTAAAACAAAATAAAAAATAGCAAGTAGTTGTGAAAATTCACATAAAATATTTCAGCAATTTAATCTAGTGAACTATAAAATCATTTAAGCAAATTAGAGGAAGTAAATATGATGTTGGTGGTACATTGTTGTAACAGAAAATCCAGTATCGAAAAAGATATTTTTCTCCCAGTGTGAGCCACAAATTCAATGAAATAGAATRAAATCATATGTGTGWGTGTATGTATTGGGTGTTGTCTAACACATCAGACTGACTTGAAAATTGTTTTGGAGAAGAAGATGGTCAATAATCACCCAGGTAATGTTGAATAAGAGTAAAGTGAGGGGGATCAGTTTAGCCAACATCAGGACCTATTTTAATGCTGCAGAAACTGATAGAGTATAAATTCTAAGTGAACAATTACACATAGAGATCTCAACACACAGACAGACTTGAATAATGACAGACTTTAATAAGTCTTGCTATTTAATTGAATTTTAATGTATAAAAAATAAATTCCTTAATATTTACTCCATAATGTTTACAAAATAAAATGGTTTCAAATACTTTATATCCTAAATATGTAATAAAACATGAAGTAATTTCAAAAGCAATTTATATTATCTTCATGGTTTTAGTTTGAAAAAATTCTATTAACACAGCCATTAACCATTGTGGRAAAAATTGATAAATTAAACTGCAATAATTAAAAATTGTTGTTGTGGGGTAT